TTGTGTTGCATTGTGGTCTACAGAGCGGCCTGAAGTGTGCATATAAAGCAGACTCGCTCCCTCGGGCAAAATTGAGATACAAAATTGTATGTCCATGTAAACTTCCCTTGTCCACTTGACGAAGTGGAACGCACTTCAAAATGGCGGCGGGGATTCCCCTGGGGGTAAGTGCTTAGGGAAATTTGCAAGTGCATGTCTAAAAGTGAACTGGAATGCAGCCCGGAGGGTGCATCATGAATTGGGACAGCTTACGTCGTGATGCTGTGACGCAATCGCACTTCAAATGCGCACTTCGGAGTCCACACACTTCAGTTTGGGACAGCCTTTGTCGCGCCGCTGTGACACAATCGCACTTCAAATGCGCCCTCTGGAGTCCGTGCACTTCACTTTGGGACACAGCTACAGTGTGGCCTGATGAAAAGCAGTCATCTGCTACCTTGATCAACAAACCCCATTAACACTGCTGTAAAATCTGACCACATAAAGACAGGTCCTTTACGACTGTTGCTGATACGAACCCAGTCAGATCAGACTGTACGATATTCATGAACTTCAGTCATGATTGACATTGAATGGGAGACAGTCCCACACAAACGCAAGAAAGAAGTGTCAAAGAGTCGGAAATCTGTCATGGCTTAAAGGTCCGTTCACATCAAGCACGATAACGATAAAGATATAGTTCTAAAAATCGTTCTCAATATGAAAGAATGGCAGAGTCCACACCACAGCTATAACGATAAAGGCACAGAGAAACAATATCATTGGAATCACTTTTAGAGCGATTTTTTCCAGCTGATGAACAATACAAACATTGACAGCCAATCAGAATCCATCCTGCTATAAAGAGCTCAAGAATTTAAAGCGGTAGACGCGCGTGCGCTTAGAATAAACAGACGATATCGTTCGCTGGTGTGGACGCTAACATCGTTATCTTTCTAGTTATCGTGCTTGGTGTGAACGGGTGTTTAAGACTGACGATACACGGGGCAACTTTTTGAGCAAGGCAAAATTGCTCAAAAAGTTGCCCCATCTTAGTTTTTCATTATCAAATCAATCAAGAATAACAGGAAGTCCACATAGAGACGCCCTGTCAAGTCACTCCCTGTGACTTCCTGTGTGACATGAAATAAAATAAAAACACAAACAAATTATATAATGATATAATAATGAATTCAAGAACAAGTTTGTGGAAATAAGGTCGTGAAATCTCATTCCCTATGGCAAAATATTTCTCAAGTTTGCACGCTTGATAGGGCAAAGGCATTGTGCGCTTCATTCGCATAGCTGTCAACAACTGACATAAAAGTCGTAAGTGTCATAGCACCCCTTTAAATAATCATATCACCATCACAGAGTGAGTGGATGGAGACGGTACACGGGGCAACTTTTTGAGCAATGTTGCCGTCAAAGGGCAGCCAGGTGAGACACAGGGCCCACGACTGATTTAAAGTATTCAGATAGAACTTTGTTACCCATTCTCAATGGGAAAGTGCCCAAGCAACAATGCTCAAAAAAAGTTGCCAGGCAAAATTGCTCAAAAAGTTGCCCCATCTTAGTTTTTCATTATCAAATCAATCAAGAATAACAGGAAGTCCACATAGAGACGCCCTGTCAAGTCACTCCCTGTGACTTCCTGTGTGACATGAAATAAAATAAAAACACAAACAAATTATATAATGATATAATAATGAATTCAAGAACAAGTTTGTGGAAATAAGGTCGTGAAATCTCATTCCCTATGGCAAAATATTTCTCAAGTTTGCACGCTTGATAGGGCAAAGGCATTGTGCGCTTCATTCGCATAGCTGTCAACAACTGACATAAAAGTCGTAAGTGTCATAGCACCCCTTTAAATAATCATATCACCATCACAGAGTGAGTGGATGGAGACGGGGGACATGTAAGGACAATGGGACTGATAATGAGGCACTTTAAATAATATATTTCCAGATGTAATAACGTGTGACTGTGTTAGAATGTGCCATACCAGTTTCTCCTCTGAGGATCTTCTCCAGAGCCACACCTTTCTCCTCCAGAGCTCTCTGCTTCTCCTCAACTTCCTCCAGCTGTCTTTGGATTACCTGCCAATTACAGTATACCTTGAGTAACTGGAATATATCTAATTTATAGGAATGTTTCTAAAGTAGATATACTTTGCGGTCAATTTACAGGTAAACCTCCCTCTAAATATGTCCTCAAAAATGCTATTAATGATATTAATGACATTTAAAAACTATAGCAATCTATGGCTCATATGTCTGTATGTCTTACCTGAGCCCGGTGAAGTCTTTTAAGCTGATCTCTCTTGGTTTGTTGGACGGCTGTTTTCTTTTGTGAGGTGCCACTGTGAGTCTTTATAACAAATAGTAAACAAAAAAGTGACTGTTTAAATTAGGGCTCTGTGCTTGAATATGTAGAAGATTTGAACAAATTGTTGGAATAGCATTAGTTGTTTCGTTAAGAGAAGCGGGGGAGCTTTTACCCTTTGTGAGTCTGGTTCCTGTTCCTCTTCACTAGATGAGTTGGACTCCTGTTGTTGTTGCTGAGCAGACGCTGTGGATACAAACCCAAAACAATAATGTATCATTTAAATAGCAAAATGTTTATTATTAAGGGATTTATCAGTAAATACTAAAAACAAACAAATAAAAACCCAATATGGGCTGTCAATAATGATAATAATAATAATAATAATAACAACAACAATAATAATAATGATGTAAATTTTTATTTTAGCTCAAGGCATCTTTAATTATTTAGGGATTTCCTGTATGAGTTAGTATCAAAATAAGTAAATAAATACAGCTGATAAGAATAAAAATAATAAAAATAATAACTTAATAATAATAATAATTATTATTATTATTATAACAAAATGTTAATTATTAGTTAACTGTAGGTCAAGGCACATTATTAAGGAAATTATCAGCAAAATTAAGGAAATTATCAGTAAGCAAGTAAATAAATAAATATTGGCTAATAATTAAAGACGACGACGATGACATTATTTTAGGTGAAGGCACATTTTAAAAAAAATCTGATTTATATAAATATAAAATACAGTAAATTACAAAACCAATATCAGTTGATAAAGATTAAAAAATTTAAAAAGTAATCACTTATACTGGCCTAAAAATACAGTAACAGTGCCATGAAAAGAGGTGTATTGTAAATAATAAAAAAAAACTGTTATGCTGATTATGAACATAAATGTACATGAACCAGCTCATCAGAACAGATCCATTATTAGAAATGACATTTATTAAACTGTATCACTATGCCATCAAAACATTGTGCAGCAAACAATGTGGTATGTATATGACGTTTTTTTTTAAATGTTTTGATACATCTCAAGATTAAAGCAGCATGTCCCACAGTTACCTGAATATTGCATGCAGGGAATATAATGAAAGCCACTGGCAGATTATATTGCATTATATAAGAGATAACAGTGCTGCATGTAATAACAATGAAGTTAACACAACCAGCAACAAGGGTTTTGTGCACATGCGTACATCATGCAAACGACGCATGGCATCAAAACTTTAATCACCAAACTCATATTGTGTCATACATTTACACGAAAGTGAAATTATGTTCAGACGAATGAATGTGTTGCTGCACCTGTTAAATACTCTGTGCTTTTATTTTTCTCTAGCATTTTTATTAAGTGATTTTAAACTGCAGATGAGTGTCAAAGGTCACTTTAACCTGCAATTACCTTTGCTTCTGAACCTGGAAAGAATGGTCAAGATGTCCTTCTGGTTGTCTCCTTTCCTCTGATCTGCTTCTTCGTTCCTCTTAATGCGCAGAGAGGAGAAGAAATTGAGTTTTCTGGGCGGTAAAGAGGCCATGTCATCTTTTGTGCCCTTGTGGGTCTTGGAGCTGAGAGCCACCTGCTCCATTAACGTGGTGAGCTCACTTCCTGTCCTCACTCTGGATTGACTGTCGTCGGTAGATGTGTTGCTGTGTTCCTCATCCCGGTTGCTCTGAATGCTGCTGCCAAACAAGCCACTGAGGTTGAAGGAGCCCTCAGACAACGGCCTGGCTTTCAGAGGCCTGTTTCTCCTGAGAACCACAGTGTTGTTTCCTTTGCTGGTAGAGAAGGACTTCCGGAGACTGTTGGCCCACTGTTGGAAGCCAAGGAGCGGAGGAGTGGGTTCAGGTTGAGGACGGCTTGGTTTTGGTGGAGCTTCTGGTTCTGGTTGATCGTTCGGAGGACTCGTTGAGGTTCTATCCCGTTGTTCTTCTCCAGAAGTCAAGGGCTTTCCAGGAGTGGCCAAGTCCCAGTTGAGCAGCTTCTCCTTTTCAGATAAAGACAGCGTGAGCTTCTTCTTGGGGCTGAGGGAGTTCGCCTCTGAGGGATCGGCTGTGATGACAGGCTCTGGAGAGGAAGTGCTTGGTTTTGGGGATTCGGGACGAAAATGTGTGCGATATAGAGGGATTTTTGGGATCTCTTCAATGGGTGTTGACTTCTTGTCCTCCATTAGGGGGCAGCCAGACTCTATAGTCGATGTTGCAGCCTTTGTTGGGGAGAGCTGTTTGAGAAAAGACAAGATCAGCTCATGGATACAGCAATTGAAGAACTGTTAACAGAATGAACAAATTAAATACTATTTTGATCATTTGGACCAAGAAACCTCCTAAGCGGCATTTGTAGAACAGCTGGAGTCAATAACTGATCATTTGAGGTTAGACAATGATGTTACACAGATTGACAGACAAAAAAGTGAATGTAAATCAGTTTACAGATTCATGGATCTCCTCAAAGTCTGAGTCTCCATCTTCCTCTGCGAGGGCTTCAGTTTTATCGTCTGGTTTTCCACGGTGAAATTTCTTAATCAGGACGAGGGGCAGAGCTGAGTGAGGAAATGATGCCACAAAGGGCTTTGATAAGTGATCACAGATCTAATGAATAAAAAAATAAAATAAAAATAAAATAAAAATAGAAAATAAACACATGAATAATAATTATATGATTGAACAAATAATAATACATCAATAACCTTTTCAATAAGTTTCATTTTTAGACTTAAATTTTCGGTACTTGTCTTTCAGTTCAAATACAGCATTGTTTTAACCACTGCACGAGTGGAACTTCATTGGAAACTTCCAGTTTTATATATTGTTACTTTTGATAAGAAGCACAGTCTTTTATTTCAAATTATTTGCATCTTTTCAGGAAAATCAAACAACAAATACCATTTTGACGCTCTTTGATGTAGCGCGACGGATCACTGTATAAATGCCTCAGTTCAAACAGCGCAGAGCGCGATCATCCTTTCCTCTTTACTAATAGTTTTAATGTGAAATAAATATAAATGAACATCTCATGCCTCATGTAATCGCTCAACCAATGTTTCATTCGCGGAAAGACGTCAAAATAACAGCTTGTAGCAAAATGTCACGTAGCATTTCATTTACCTCAGGCAAGTCATCAGTGTCCACAGCTCGTTAGTTCGCTATAAATGAAGTCTAGAGAAGAGCTTTATATCAAATATTAGACTATATACTCGTATTTACTTTTTTTTATTTAATGTATGTTTAAATAAATATTTTATAGCCTATGACAGCCACTGTGTAAATTAATATATTTCAACAAATAGAAATTTTATAATTTAGAAGTTAATTTAAAAACTGCATTATGTGCAATTTACATGTTTGCATAAATTTCTAAGTTGAGTGTTATTATATTTAAAAATAAATAGTAGGCTAATTAAATTTAAGTTTGGGCTATGTTGTTAATTGCAATCTTAATAGTATAGGCCTAATGTAAAAGGTCTCACTATAGTTTGACCATAAGCTGAATTTATTTCAAGAAAGAGCAATTTGTTCAGTAAACCACTGTTTCATTTAAATAATAATAATTATATATATATATATATATATATATATATATGTGTGTATATATATATATATTTATTTTTTTATTTTTTTTCCCTGCTGTACCGAAACCATACCGAACCGTGACGTCAAAACCAAGGTACGTACCGAACCGTCATGTTTGTGTACTGTTACACCCCTATTAGACATTAACATTTAAAGTGAATATTGTAAACCAACCTCATATTTATGACCTCCGTTGAGTCTGAGAGGGCCTGCACCTCTGCACTCTCAGCCGGAGCACTGGGCTTCGACAAACCCATCGGGTCATTCTGAGATCTGGAGTCTGATTCGGCTCCTGCGGGGTCCACGCACACACATGACAGACTGAATTTATAAACCAGACCCTGCTATCATGCTCTCCATGTTCAGAAATGATTACGTACCTTAATGTCTGTATTTCACCGGCACAACAACAACAACTAATAATAATAACAACAACAACAAATTGTTTTGTTTATTAATTTACATTATTATTATTCCACATATCCCTGAAGAGGAACTTTAACTAATTTATAACAACTTTAACTAATTTATAAAATGTTCCATGGCAGTGTTTAGTTGATCACTTTAATTAAATGGTTTGTAAAAGCTGAATTCCTGTTTGAATGACAGTATAAGGTCATTGAAAGCTTTTATAAGAAGACAGTATGTCTGAACACTTGGCTATATATGAACTCATTTCTCATCTCTTTATTCATGTTAAACAGACATTATAACCTTGAGACGCTCTCCATATGAATGTCTGTTTTGATTAGTGATGCTCCTCGCAAGATTTCTGACAGAGGAGTGAAAAGAATTATCAGAAGAGTTGTCCAAGAGCCAAGGATCACTTGTGGAGAGCTTCAGAAAGACCTGGAATTAGCAGGTACAATTGTTTCAAAGAAAGCAATAAGTAATGAACTCAGCCGCCGTGGCCTGAATGCACGCTCAGAAAAAGCATGTTGAAGTTCATTTAAAGTTTGCTGCACAACATTTAGACAAGCCTGTGAAATACTGGGAGAATATAGTCTGGTCAGATGAGACCAAAATTTTACTCCTTGGATGCCATAATACACACCATGTTTGGAGGTGAAATGGCACTGTACATCACCCCAAAACATCAAGGTGTAGCACTGGCAAAATTCATATAATTGAAGGAAGGATGAATGGAAAAATGTACCGAGACATTAGACATAGCACAAAGTCTTCAAAGATGTTTCTAAAAGGTTTTTTTTTTAATTCTTTTTTAACCCATTGCACACAAAAAAAAACCCAAAAATTATTTGTGAGTTTTCATCTTTATATTTTGCCTACACAAAGTAGCAAAATTAATTAAATGAAATATGGATATGAATAAATTCAATTTAACCCTCATGTTCTCTTTGGGGTGTAAGAGACCCCAAGGCCATTTTAATAGCTTGATTAAAAAAATGCACACATATATACATATATACACAGATACATACAATGGGTAAAATAAGTACTGAACACATCACCATTTTTCTCAGTAAATATATTTCTAAAGGTGCTGTTGACATGAAATTTTCACCAGATGTCGGTAACAATCCAAGTAATCCATACATACATACA